AAAAGAAGGGGAAAAAATTGAGAAGAGGGAGTGGTTTGTGTTTGGAGCATGCAAAAAGATATTCCTATCCCCCACAAGAGAACATGAATAAGAAACAAAGGTGGTGACCACTTTTCAATTCCCTTCCTCCTTTTGAGGGCACACATGCCTCACTCACACTTGAAAGAAACACACACACACACACATTCACAATTGTTGTGTGTGTTGTGAGTTGCGAGTTGTGTGTGTGTGTGTGAGTGCCATGAAAGCTTCTTTCTTGCAATGAGTGGTGATCCATTCACATACACTCACAACACTTTATCTTTCTCTTTCTCTCTCTCTCGTGATCGAGGGATAGGATTCCCTTTTGGCCACACTTTCTAGGGTAAGTCAACCCCAAAAAAGCCTCAGCTTTTGTTTCTAGGGTTTGCAACTCAACCTCATTGGGAGGGCCAATTCACGTATCTGATCAATTACTTTGATTGACTGCTACTATTCTTTTCTTCGTTACTAGTAAAATACAAGTGAGTAATTAATTAACCGGGATAGATCGCCTTGGTTATATCGTTGGCTCATACCACTTTCTTGCAAGTTAAATCCGTATTTTTAATTTAATGAAACGATGCACTTAAGATAATTCAGCTTATTAATTAAGCATATAGTCCAAGTGTCCAACTATATATATTGTTTATAACAAATTTCATCCCAATCAATGCGGGAGAGCATATGGGGGCCATTGAGCTTGGAAATATATATATATATATATATATATATATTTCCTTCAATCTCTTAAACATGGGTACTACTAAATAACTACTTTGTTGGCGAAAAAAACTATAATGAATACCAAAATTTGAAAAATAAATAAGTGCAAAGGTTATCATTCTTTATTTTTTGAATTTATATCGTATATTTATTATTTTTAATTACTACTCCTAATTTAATGAAGGCTCTAATTAAATTATTATATTTAATGTATCACAAATAAGTTATTTGTTCTTTTATGTGCCAAAAAAAGTTATTTGTTCTTTTATAATTTTAAAGTTAAAACAAAGCAAGTCTCTTTGAATCTCCTTATATTCTAGTGTTATACATATAACATTGGTTGGAAAAAATATATATATATATAAAGATTATGTAAATTTTATATATTATTTATTTATCTATTATTGTCACTTTAAAATCTACTTGGGGTGTTTGGATATCCTTAAAAGTATTTTCTAAAAGTATTTTTTTACAAATCAAGACAAATTTCTTTAAATATTTACTTCGTATACTGTAAAATTATTTTTAAAACTATAGTTTGGTTTCTATCCAAATATCTGTTCTGATTTAATTCTGTAACAAAAGTATATTAAGCATATAAGGCTAAATACCTAATTATTTTCTCATGGCTAGCATATCATGGTACTTAAAACAACTGAAAAGAGTTAAAAAAAAAAGCTTGTAACAATTTTTTTTTAATACAATGCCACAATAGATAGTTTGTTATGTTTATGACATAAATCATGCAAAAGTTAGCATATATTTACGCTCTAAAGAAGGATCATCCAAAAAAACGGCTTTAGCACATCCAATTAGTGTGAGCCAACCAGCCAGTCTGCACAACAATATGCTTTCCTCGATAAGTGATTTATAGTGGCGATCCAATCTTGCATTAATAGCAAGGCTGCAAATTTCTCCAATCTACTTCCTCTGGTCCATAATAATATAAGAAGTCCTTTAGAAGAAGAAAATTTTATTCACCAAAAAAAAAATTTGATCTAAAATATAAGAGGCTGACAGAATAATTAATAATAGTGTTCTACTTTTACTCTTTATTGCAAAGAGTAGAGAGAGGAGAAAATTTTCCAATCACAATATTTAATATGAGTAAAATATAGATAACTTTTATCAATTTAACTAACATTTTTTTGGCTCGTGAGGAAACTTAACTAACAACATTGAAGGGAATAGCTGCTTAGTACATGATTCTGAGAATGTTCACAATCAATCAAGTGTAGAACTTCAAGACAATGGTTTTCCGGCGGCCTTGCTGGCTCAATAACTAACCTTCAAGATTTAAAGGTAGCTAGCGAATGCTTTTTATGTGTGCTAATGTCCAGCTTCAAGATTTTGGATCACGGACCCATTTAGTGTCCAATCTAACCAGAAGCAGAATCGAATATCATGAACTCATCAAATCTCAGTTGTTTATATTTAATTTGAATGGTTTGTATTTAAAATCTTCAATTATTATTTTTAAATAAAAAAACTATTTTTTTAAAAAATAATAGTTAAGAGATTATCTCTATTTTATATTTTATATTTCTTAAAATAATTACTTTGAATAAATAAAAATAAAAAATAAATCAAATATGAACTATCCAAATAAAATATGGATGATTCAAATCTAATGAGTTTAGAATGTTCATCAAAACGATGAGCACCGGCACTGGTTCCCAATCTAACCAAGCTTCTTTAGAGGATGCCAATTAATGGGATAATTTTTTGTATCTTTGTAGCTCTCGATCGGGTTTAGGATTATCTTCAAAGATTGGAGCTTGTATTAATTATCCTTAATTAGTAATTTTTTAAGTAGCTGAGAAGGTGATTTCTTTCTTCACGGCTAGTTTGTTTGAATAAATTCTATTGCATCTATATTTTTATATGTCACCAAACATGAGGGGGGGATCTTTTTCAAGAGATTTTCCTGGCGCCATGATTGCTTCATTGAGGGAGAGATTTTAACATTTTTAGTGAGCAGAGGATTTTTTTTAATTACACCTGTGCATCGTATAATTCTTATAGGAGAGAGAATTTATACACCATTTGAATATCTAACATCACTAAGCTATTGCGTATAATTAGAGCGAAGAGACATTCTCTCTCTCATGCATTTACAAGTTAAGGCTACATGCACACAAGCGAATCAGCCTAATTAAATACTGATCTGATCTTATTTACAAGTCACTTCTAGTATGTTTCACACAAACCTAGAAAAACTTTAAACTTTATTAACTCTTATTTAAAATTCAATAATTTTCTAACTTTATCCTTATTTATTATACATTATACATTTATATCTCAGTAAACAAAGTCAACATGATAATAAATGAAGGGTAAAATTGTACATCTATACAAATTTTTTTTTGTCAATACCCTATAAATAAGATCAAAAAATGTCTTTTCTCTCTATCTTAGAAATAGAACCTGAGGAGTATATGATATATCATATATATGATATATATTTTTAATGCTAAAATTTTCCTACAAGGCAATATTAGCTGTAGCATTTCACATTTATTTCTTATTAGTACGTGGATATGTTATAACCTGTTTGTTGTGTGAGTAGTGAAGTTTTCAGTTTCATTTTCTTAATAAAAAAAAGATATAAGTGTCGTGTAAAATGAAACAGGCTCAAATTTGAAGTGGTTAATTTAATATTGTAGGGCAAAGCTAATGTAATGTAATACTATCTCTAGTCCTTAATATAAGAGTTAGTCGACTAATTTGAGTAGATTATTAAAATTAGTTAAGTTAGTTATTTGTAATAAATATGTATTATCTTTCCTAAAATAGCCGTACTAATTAAGTTTATTGGCTAGAACTACTATTATTATAAGGACTATATTAAAAAAAAAAATGAAAGACAGAATGGATTGGGATCTTATATTTAAAACTAAAATAAAAGTTAAATAAGTTCTTATATCAAGAGCCGAAGCTAGTATAAGTTTAGATAATAGTAGTGGTAATAATGATGATTATGATGTATGATATCATAGGATAATGGAAGGTGAGAAGCATGTGAAGGCAATAGTATTGGGGAGAATTGTGAATGATGCAAAGGCCCAAGGGATGGATTAGAATGAACGAAGCAAAGTCAAACCTAATCCGGACATTCTGTGGGGCCCACCTCTTCCCCCAACAACAACATCATTGGCCCCATTCTCATTTCTCACCCTCTCCCACTTCAACCCTTTTTCCCCCTACCCTTTTTTTTTTTTTTTTTTATTATTATTTTGTACACATTCCCCAAATTTTCCCCAAAAAAAAACTATTATTCCGTTCTATGAAAATACACAAATTTAAGAAACTTCCATTGATTTTGATGTTGGCCCTTATTTGTGGCCTTCACACTTCTCGAATTGAATCTTTTTCTTGGTGCAAAAAAGTTCAAATAAGTTGGATGCTGAGACTCACCAAAATCAAGACATGTCTCTAGGCTTTAAGAGTACTTATAGAGTTATTTATAGATCACCTACCAATAAAATTCTCATATTAACAGGAGAATTCAAACTTATAACTTTATGAGTTATGAGCAAACTCCTAATCAACTAAACTAATTTTTGTTGGTTGGAATGAATGAATCTTTCTTTTCATCCGAGGGAACATGCTAACGGGGCTCTTGTCACTCGGTGCTTTCCTCGTCTTGGGGCATTTGGCATTTGGAATCTCAGTCGTATGGGCCTAAAATCGAAAACTGGTGCTCAGCAAATTCGACGGAACTCTTGACAATGACAAGGGAAAATGTGGGCTGAAGATGAGCCCGAATGATAGCAGTACTGGGCCTCAACATATATTCTTGGGCCATAAAGCAAATGCTCGGCCCAATCCAAATATACGCAATGCTACCTCTTCCCTCACCCCCCCCCAAAAAAAAGAATGACGTATTTGATGTTTTGTTTTTAGGCGTGTTATATTGTTCATCAATTTGCATTTAAATTTATATTCTGTGATTAGTTTTTTTTAACCAAAATATTCTGTGAATAGTTTCACAATAATATTATAATATGTTTTTCAATGACAATTTTAGAGAATTCCTTTTGATAATTTGACCCCAAAAAAAAAAAACTTACTAAGCCATCTGAAAATTACATAAAAAGGTACTTTGAAAATATCTTCTACTTTATTAAAACCATGTTTTGGTAAAATTAGCCCTTAGTTTATTGCTTTTTGGTCGTGTTTTCAAATACGTCCTAATATTTTTGGCCAAAAAATTATACGTCCCAATATTGATAAAATGTCTAAACATTTTTTGATTAGATTACAAGCAACTTCTTTCTATTTATGAACAATTTATTTTGTTGCAACAGTCTTTTTACAACTGTTAAAAAAATAAAATGAAATAAAAAACTATAAAATGCCTAAGAAAACAAAAGGAAAGTTTTGATATAGTAAACCATGTCATTTTTTCCTCTTATATTCAACAAACTGAAACTTGCTCCCTACTAATTCTGTGAAAAAACAAACCTTTTAAAGCTATAGAAGACCTTAAGGCAATTACATTATGATGAGTCTGTTTCTGGGTTAATTTAAATCACCTTCCATCTGATCTCAACATGGATCACTCCATTCCTTGAATTAATTAGATTGTATTTATCATTAATCCGACCATTGTGCACAACATCATTCAGGTTAATCTCCACATGCCCCAATGATTCCTGCATTTCAATACACAGAATCAAACCTTTAAGGAGACTACTTATGAAGACAAGGTAGCGGTAGCAGCACCAGCAGTGACAATAATAATAATAATCAACAATGATTAATAATACCTTGGACAGAAAACTGAAAAAGGTCCTCCTACTCATTACTTCAATGTGTATCTTCTCATGTAGAGGAGCCTCCTCTAGCATAAATTCAAATTCTTCGTTCCACCTTGGGTCACGAGTTTTCCTCATCATCTGCAGAATTTCATTTACTGGGTAATCTTTCTTAAAATAAAAATCGGTATACCAACGATAAAATATAGACTAAAACAATCATATTATCAAACATGTTGATATACATGCCAGAGCTGAGGTTTACCTTAAAGGATATTAAGGTTCTTACATCAATAACAGTGATCAGTTTGATCTTTTCAAACATTTCGTAAACTTCCATTAAGGTACACAATGTCCTCCATACACTAAGTTCTCTAGTATGTTATCATAGCATATATAGAATCATACAACACTAAAACCGTTTAGTAACATTAATATCTCTTGCGTTTTGTAGAAGGTAGTGTATTATTTAAGATTTTCATGCATGATGAAACACTGAAAAGTTATCAAATAATTGATACAACTAAAAGAATGAGAACTAAAAATTTTCTGGTAGTATGTGAAATGTTATGCTTCTGTTCATATCTTAAATATCCTAATGCCGAATGCATGCGGGTTTACCTTTGTCTTTTTCCTTTCACCTCTAAAGAAAACCAGTGCGTATGGATTGTTGTGGCTTTTACCCTCAACCTCCTCAGCCTCCTGTATCAGAACAGAAAGCAAACCCGCTCCTTGGACATCATCATCAGATACTCTATCACTCCCATTTTCCAGATGCCCACCAAATTTGCTACTTTCTTCTCTGAAAGGAGCAAAAGTAAGGTCCACCACTATTTGACCTCTTGGCTTCTTATTTGGAGGCTCCGAGACATTTGTGTCCTTGAGTAAATCAAGTGTGAATTCCTTGCTCTCACAAGGCTTCAACAGCTTAAGTGGGATTAACTGCATCCCAAGCCTGTCATGTCCGCCTACCTATTAACAGTTCAATGAGAAGAACATCATGTGAATTATGTGTCATCAATGAACAATCAGTGAGCAAAATGGATACTAAATGCATCATGATAGTATGGAGATTCCAATACAATGTATTGCCAAAGCTAACATTCTCTGAAAGTTATCGTTTATGTGCACCAAGTCAACCCAGTCCTTTTTGGTTGGTAGATGTATGATTGAAAATTAAAAGAAGACAAGAAGATTCAATAAAAATGTCCAGTGATAAGCTGAATTCAGTCCCAAGTTTCCTTTACATAGGATCACAGGGTCACCATCCTTCTGAAAGGTGATTGCGTCCTGTTAGTCATATTATGTAAGCAAACAGTGACATAATTTGAAATGGGATATTGTCTGAATTTTTTCTATCATTTTTCTTCGTCAATATAAGTTTTTCTATTAAATTTTAATGCAGTAGATTAAAGATCAGTCAAACCTTATCCCAGTCGAAGACTTGCAACTGGAGAACCTGAGATTCAGGGTCCTTCACAACAAGCTTGAACTTCTCGTTCCACTCGGGATTCAAATTCCTCCTTTTGATGGTGGTTTTCTTTGCTGGAAGCTTGTCCCCAGAAAGACTGAGTTTGACATATGGATCAGAAGTCCCCAATAAATCCATCTTCAAAAGCTTCACTGCCCGAATCACATTCACATGTAATATCCCTACAGGCTTCTTTATTGCCACCCTATAGGCATATGGAAGAATAATTAGGAACTTCTTTTAAAAATCTTGATATTTTTACAAAGAGTGGCAGAAAGCTCAGAGATAAAACCTCAGCACGTTGTGGTGTATTTTAACCCCAAATACTGCTATTAATGTACTTGGAAACATATTTTATAATGTAACATTGCTCTAGTAAAGATATACACTACAAGCAATTCAGTACACCTCTTCCAACCATTGACAGTTGCAAAACATTATCAACCAAACAGAATAATGGTCTTAGAATCAACCGTACCAACTTCTTTTTAGGCTTTAGAAAAGAAGCAGGGGTCATTATTCATGTATTTCCCGAACTTGCATGATGAAGATATGGAGGTCCTTTGGACTTCCAGAAAATTTCTAATTTAAGCACACAAAACCGTATAGTTTCATCTAAACTTACGATGATTCATCAAGAATAGGAATCTCAAGAGTTTGAGGCCAGAGATAGAGGTTTGCAACTTGTTTTTTGATTGTTTCCTGTAAACAACTAGAGCAGTCAGTCTATCATGTCCAATTGTTTATGGCAACTATAAGTCTGTAAGTGCCAAAAACAAAATAAAAGTGAGCGACCAAAGAGTAACAATATGATGAGCACAAACACAATATTAGTGGTTCACCCCTTCTAGCAATACGTGCAAGGGACAAAAATAATCAAACAATCGACCATGGAACCATAGAATCTGTATGTCACAAAAAGCACCATAGAAATCTGCAACATTCCCAGAACTAATTTGCGTACTTAAATAAATTCATTGTTGTACGAAGCATAATACAAAAGGAAATCCTAATTCTTTTGTTTATTTGGCCAAAAGAAATTCTAATTCACTTCACAAGAAAATTATATTACTATATTTATTGTAAAAGATTTTTGAGAGAAATTGGGGGGGGGGGAAGATTGCAAGTCTGCAGTAAATAATTTAGTGTAAAACAACGTACAGAAAAAATAATTACCAGGGGAGCACCTGAACATATCTGTAAAGACCAGGAATTGACATGATGTCACCTCCTGATATTTTCATCCCGAAGTCTACATGAGGCTGCATATTAAATAAAACAATTACTGAATTATAGATAATCGGGCTTCTCATTGACCACATATATTAGTGGAAGCAAGAAATGAAACTGTGCTTGAACATAATGTTTCCTTTACCTTCTCCAATAATGACACGACAATGTTTGCAAAACATGGAAATGTAGGCACTAAAGGTTTTAAAGTTATCCGTGGTGCTGCAAATACTTGTAGCTCTACCACCTGAGGAGAGGCATCATCAGTTCCAGGAAGAACAGCATCAATTTTGTAGGAACCACAAAAAGCATTACCATTTAAGATTTGTGCCTGAAGGATGATCTGACCTGAACCTTGATCCGTGGAGACAACAACTTCAAAGCCACCACTACATTCTGATTGCCAGCCCATTTGATGATTGGTTCCATAATCAATTCATTTTCATTTGTCTCGAAGACTTTAATGCCTGCAGAATCACAAAATAGACGGTAAAAGACCATTAAACATGATGCTAGACTTTCATACCTCATAGGTTATGAGCATGAAAAAAAAAGATGCGCAAAATTTCTTTGAATCGTCTATTTCATTAGACAATAATAACACAAATTACTGTTTTTCTCATCAGCAGTTTTGTGTGTGTCTCACTCTCTGACGTGCATTTTTATCACTCCCACAAGGTATCCATGTCAAACATAAACATTTGTGGTCCTCCGATATGTGTCAAGTGTGCGGAGTAAATAAGGTTAAATAAGAATTCGAGTCAGATGATTTATGCTAAAAATGAGATCACATGTGCGTTGCCATGGGCATCACTTAATTATCTATTCAGTTCATTTGCTGTTTCTTAGCTCCAAAATGTATCACACTGAACTTAAGCATTCGTTAGATATGTGTTTTCCAGACCCTCAACACAAGTCCTGTCATTGGCATTGACAATCTACAAAAGCAACTATTTGCGTTCATAGTGGGATTGAAGAATATAAGATGAAGAATTCTTAGGGAGGAACTGAATAGCACAACAACAGTAGCACATATAAACCAAACTTTAAGAGTTGCCAGAAAATCTTACACAACAAGTAGACTTACCGCATATGGTAGGAGGAAGAGTACCAAGGCTTAAATTCTCAAATTCAATGCTTTTAATCTGATACTTCCCTATATATTCTGCAAATATTGGCTTAGCCATGCTTTCAATCATACGACATATTGCCTACACGTTAACAAATAAAAAACTCGGTGAAGAACAGAATAATTAGAGGATAAATCTTCCCATACAAATTACAGAAGTACCTTATCAAGTGAAGGCCACATATATAATAAAAATTTGTTCATCCAGTCCACCTGCGTAATCAAGCACAATATCATGAGGTCCATATGTAAAATTGCACAACCAAAATAAAATTTACATAGATTGCAGGGCTATACTAACTCGTTCATAATCGGGGCTCTTCATCCACAAAGGAATTTCGGAGAGAAGTTCTTGCAAAGCATTTGGGCCTAAATCGCTAATTGGAACGACCTCTGTTTCCTGTAACATCAAGCTTTTCATGTAATCATGCATGCCCACAAACAAAATTCTAAATGTACCTAAGCTCAGTTTCCGTCTCACTGATCACGAGAACCGGGTCGTAACCGGATACATTACAATGAAAAATGAACCAAAAAGTTACCTCCACTTCTTTGGGTTCGGAGTAAACGAAGAGGAAAAATCCCACCAAGAGACCGAGAGGAATTCCAATGGAGAAACCAAGAATGCCCAAGATACTGCTGATTAAACCCATTTAGTAGAAAAGCTCCGGAATGAAGAGAAATGAACGTGAGACTGATCAGAGAGAAATCCCCAATGAAAATGTGAAGGATTCAAGCGGGAGAAGAGAGAAGAGCGATGGAAACTATAAAGAAATTAAAAACAAAAAAGAATAATCGGGAACAACGCAACGAATAACAAGAATGGCACTAATGAAACCGCCTTTTTGTTTCACGGTTTCACTTCAAAAATTGCTCTTCTCAACTCATTAATGCCTGAGAGCCTATACTCTGTTTGTTTTAGTTTTCTGCCGATAAGGTTACTACTCTGTTTTGATCTAACAGTACAACGACGCCTCGGCCGTTGAAGTGATTACGCTACCCTTACCTTCGAAGAATATGCATTGTGGCCTGGATAGAAAATATATATATATATATATATTATTTAATTTAATACAATAAATGTATTTTCGTTCAAATTTAAAAGTATATAGTTTTTACCATTTTAATTATAAATCTTCTCAATCAAGAATATGAGGATCACAAATATAGAGATGAATTGTATTTAGAGTTAATCTCAATTCTATTATAAACCAAAGTATTCTCCTATTGAAAGTAATCCTATTCAAAACATTGTCGGGCACTAAATTATTACAAACCTAGGTTTGTCTTTAAGAATCGTATGCTAACTACATTGTTAGTGAAAATTATATATATATATATATATATGGATATTTCAATCAAAATAATATGATATTTACATGTAAGATCATATAAAAATGTTTATTCTTAAAAAGTCATACGTTTAACATGATTTTATAAGTCAAAGAGCATAATTTGAAAGCATAACATGAATAGTAGTATAATATAATATTTATTAAAGAGTATATACTCTTGGTTTTTTTCTTGAAAGCGAATTTCAATCCTCATTTCAAAGTCCACGTCATATGCAAGAAAATCCTTGAATTGAACAAAAATGCAAGAAAGCATGTCAAATTGATTTTCACTTTTCTGAGTAATAACCTTTTTCTTTGGGAAAACCTTAGCAATAAAATTTGGACTTTTCTTTCTTCTTTTTTTTTTTTAAAAAGGCATTGATTAGAAAATTGATCATACCCATCCGTATCCTCTCAGCTTCACACTCGTGTGGCTGAGATTGGACAATTTATTGCCACTGAGAAAGACATTTCAGCTTTAACAAATTATAAATATTACTCGTATTATTATTTTTTATAATTGGCCGTTATTATTTTTTCTGATGATAAAAATATAATAGATAAAAAGTATCTTCAGCTAATTTTCTAAGATGACAATCTCATATGCAATCGTTGGGTGTGAAATTCGGGAAAAAAAAATCCGTGGGAAAAAATTCTGATTTAAAATACTACCTCTAATCTTTAATATAAGAGCTAAATAATTAAGTTGTAAATGTTAAACAAAATTAGTTAAGTTAGTCATTTGTGATAAATGAGTATTATTTATAATAAATGAGTATTATTTTTTTTTAAAATACTTTTGTTAATCATATTTACTAGAATAAAAACTCTTTAATATATGCAATCACCATGAGAATTATATTGGGAAAAAGTGAATAAATATGAAAAATAAAATGAGTTGAGGTCTACAAATTAAATTTCTAGCTAGCTCTTATATTTAAGATTGGAGGTAGCATATCAACTTTATTTTTTTTATCTGTTTGAGGTATTATTAGACACTAAATATAAGCATCTATCTCAACAGATATTCGAAGCTTCCTCCGTCCCCTTATCAGCTTTTGAATCATATGAAAAAACAAAGGTAATAAATTTGGTAATATATATAAGCTTTTTTTTTCCCCTCCTTGAAGCACATTTATGATTTAGTTGTTGAACAAAATCTACCGGGTATTTTTTTTGTTTGATAATATCGCGCCTTTTTCAGTGTCGTGATCACTTGGGCAATAATGATTATAAACACCTATTTTCTTAATTAATTATAAACACCTCAATCAATCATACTAGTCCCGAGCTTAATTATTCAATTCCTCTTTCTAAGGGTTGGCCATCAATCCCTTTTTTAATTAAAAAAAAAGGCCATTAAATATTCACTGCCACTATGTTGAATTCAAACATTATCAGGGCTTTAAATAAGGCATTTCTTTTAAAACGTATTTTTATATTTACATAAACTCAAATTCAAAATTTTGTGCTTAAGAATAATGGGTCATAACTTATTTAAAGATCATTAACACATGTGAATTCTGTCGCCATTATGAAATTAAACTCATGTATTGTCTTAAGAAAAGCATTGCAAGTCAAATCTAATTCTTTTCAAATTAGAAACACCATAAGCAAATTTTTATGAAAAAATTAATTAGCCTATATAATTTATGCGCATGCTTAATGTGGTTCATATATTTCGGATATCCTTATTTGACTATTATATTTCAAATTCTTTTTTTTTAAATATTATATTTAAATCATAATTAATGAGTCAAATTAAATGGCGACGTGGACAAATCAAACAAGGCACCAAGGGATTTTGGTTTTTTATTTTATTTTTTGACCTGGAGGGATTTTGGTTGAAACCCTACGCCATAGGCATTCTCAATTCTCAGATGTGAACTTCCTTAATTAATTCATAACCTATTGTCAGGCCGATACGCACTAGAATATTTGTTGATCTACGACAGACAAATAATAAATAATATAATATATTATTTATATTTATAAAACTAACCTTAGCGATTAAGATTCATTTGTTTTTTTTAAAAGCAAATAAAGAGCTGTGTTTTGACTGGCGAGATTATGATGTTTGCGCGTAGCACTCTTCATTAGACGCCAAACCATATTCATTTCACATCTCCTTAATTAGTCTCAATTACACAAAACTATTTGCTCTTATCCTTAATATAAGATCTTATTTAACTTTTTATTTTAGTTCTAAATATAAACCTTAATCCACTTTGTTTATATTTATGTATTTTCTAAGATAGTTCTTCTAATAATAATAGTTTTAGCCAATATATTTGACTAGCAAGGATATTTTAGGAAAGACAACACCTATTTATTATAAATAATTAACTTAATTTATTTTCTTAATCTACTCAAATTAATTACCTAGCTTTTATATTAAGAACGGAGATAGTATTTTTAAAAATACATTAAAATGCTTATTAACCTGCCGAAATGGCTTAATTAAGTACTACCTCCCTTTGTTAATATAATATTTCATTTAATTTTTATTTGATTCTAAATATAAGATTATAATATATTTTATCTCTCATATTTATATGTTTTCTAAGGTAGTTTTTCTAATAATAATAGTTCTAACCAATATACTTGATTAGCGAGGACATTTTAGGAAAAAAACACCTATTTATTAAATAACTAGTTTAACTTATTTTTTTAATCTATTTAAACTATTCAACTAGTTATTATATTTATTATCGGAGGTTGTATCATCCTTCTCATCAATCTTGGCCGTAGAATTTATTAGGCTTCTGTTAAGGTTGAATACAAATTCTGCATTCTAATTATAGACCCTATTGTTTGATTTTTTTCAGGACTTTTTTTTAATTAAAGAGATCACACTAGCGGCCAGAAATCATAAGCGAAATTGTCCAATTGTGATGAACTTCGTTAACTCCTTTTTTTTTTTTTTTTTGCCAACGATGAACTTTGTTAATTAAAAGGAGCCATTGATACCTATTTTTCATGAAATTTCTCAACTTGTTCCTTTTCCTTTGAGACAAAGTATACTACTGCGTACTCTTGATCCACAACAAAATAATGTTCAATATTTAATAAAAAATAGTAATTTTTTAAAAAAATATCATTTTGTGATTTGAAATATAATAATGATAAAGACAAACGATAACATCAAACATCACAAATATCACATAGCTTAGTCTCCAAAAAAAAATGTTACATAGTTTTTTTTTGTTGAGCCCATAGTATTCACCACTGATAATAGTGACCAATCTTAGTGCACCAACGGATAAAAGTTGGTCTAGTTGGTAAGGAGTCAACTCATAACTCACAAGGTCAGGAGTCTAAATCCCGTTGTCGATATGAGAACCTTGTTGTTGAGTGACTTGTAAGTGTCTCTGTAAACGCTTTCTGAGTTTGGAAGCATATTCTGGCCCTGATAAACCCTGAAACCTAACTTACCTAAACTTTTGTTTACCAAAAAATAATTTCACCGCACCATAAACTTTTGAAAATGTTTGGTGCTGACGGACCTCTTCATATATATACTCCTCTAAATCCTAAATATAAGACTCTTTGTATAGTGTAAATTACACTATAAAAGAGTTTTATATTTAGACCGGAAGAATACTATTTATTCTTTATACAACAGGCAACTTCTGATAAACAAATACGGATTACCATAAACAAAACGATGCGATTTCGAAATTATCGCCATAACAAGACCGTTGGGTGCTCTAACTAGGTCCGTAATACAACGACGATAATTAAAAAAGAGTCCAAGTTGGAGTTCAAAATTTATACACACACCCGGGACAAAAGGAAAAGAATTAAAAAAGACAGTAAAACCATCGACAAATCCACGTATATTGAGTATCTGAAATGGATATATACTACTAATACTTAATATAAAAACTAGTTTGACTTTCAATTTGGTCCTAAATATAAAACTTACTTTTTTTGTCTTTCATATTTATTTATTTTTTCAAATTAGTTATTATAATAGTTGTACATGTTAAAGATTCTATCAAATGATAGTTCTAATTAATACACATGATTAAAAAGACAATACCTATTTATTATAAATAACTAACTTAACAAGCTTTCTTAATCTATTCAAATTAGTCAGCTAACTGTTATATTAAAGACTGAATGTAGTATATACTTACAAAGAACATTAACTTCAATTTTATTAGTTGCAACAAAACTTGCCGTAAGGACACCTCTACTGTGTTTCACCTCACCTAATTCTTAATTTAATCGAAAACCGATTATAATAAACATGTTTTGGAGTGTGAACGCTTTTAAAAAGAGAGGAATCTATGGTTTATTGAAATGATAAATTA